GGAAAAACTGTATGTTTTTTGTTATGTTGTTTCTTTTGGGTTTGGGAAGCTCAAGAGTTTCCCGTGGCCTCCCCCCAACACCTCTTCCTGTCCTCCAAAGTAACAAGAACAACGATACACGGTGTTTGGCGCCTTCGGGGCAAGGAAACGCTGCTTGTTTGCGTGTGGTTTATGCTTGGTCCTCTGGTTTTGGGGGTCGACGAAAACCACAACAAAAAAACATAATAACCACACATGTATACTGCCCCTTGCATCCTAAACCAATAAACCGGAACAGCCAGCAATGCACAGCGTTTCCTTGCATCGAGGGCGCCAAACGCTGTGCATGCTTGATGTCCTGCTTTGCAGCACGGAGGAGGAAAAAAAGGAAAGAAGGCGGTGCTGGGGGGGAGGCCGCGGGAAGCACTTGAACTTCAATTTTTTATATAAAAAACAAAAAACTGCACCGTGCTTCCTTGCATCCTAAACCAGAAAGCGGGAAAAATGCACGGCGCCTCCTTGCACCGAGGGCGCCAATCACTGTGTATGTTTGGGTTTCTTGCTCTGCAGCGAGGAGGAGGAGGAAAGGAAAGGATGAGGCGCTGGGGGGGGGGGGGGCGCGAGAAGCACTTGAACTTCCCAAACCCCAGAAACCAACATGACCAAGTATACATGTTGTTTCCTTGCATCCTACACCCCCAAAAAACAGAAACACAAAAAACGTTTCCTTGGATCGAGGGAGCCAGACGCTCTCTATTTTTGTTTTTGCGTTACTACAAAGAGGAGGAAACATAAAGGATAATGAGGAGGATGGGCGAGGAGGAGGAGGGGGAATTGCGTTTGGAGAAGGGGGGACGGAAGAAGAGAAGGGAAGGGCGAATAAAAAAATGATGAACGCGAATACGATCCAAGATAAAATGTATGATTAGGGGTGGGGGCAACCATATACATATATACATATATATACATATATATATATGTGTGTGAATATGCATGCATGTCCGTGTTTAAATATGGCCGCGCGGGCCAAACGGAGGGCGTCGTTTCGCTGTTCTGCGCTGCTCACAAGACATGGGAGAGACAATCCAGCGCCGCGAATTCGCGAACCTCTTCTTGCGGTCTCTTCGCGACTCACACGGAGTCGCGCCCCCGCTCCCACGAGCAAACTCCACTGTCCCCCGCGGGATCACTGGCCGACGGGCTTCCCGCCCAGTCCTACTTCACGCCGAAACGGCGACGCGATGCAAGCCGCGTCCCGCCCGACGTTCGCGTGGAACACGTACTCCACAACGTCCAGGGGGGAGAATCTCGCCCTTGCGGGCGACGTCGGCGCAGTTCGAGGAACTCAAGCGGCCGGACATGCTGCGGAGGGAGAGCTCGAGGCGCGCGAACCCGCTGTCGACGTCGCCCACGCGGGCGCCAGCGACAGGATCGCGGAAACCGCTGTCACGATTTACTGCGCCCTTCACCTTCGAGCTCGCCTTCTTCGCGGTCGCTTCCGCGGCCCGCCACTCGTCCGCCGCGACGGCGCCCCCCTTCGCCGCGCGCTCCCGCGGCGCTGGCGTCGGCGACTTCGCCTCCCGAGGCTCGCCGCCAGGTGCGTCCGCAGCCCTCGGGGGTAGGCCCGTGGAGATGCGTTTGTTCCCCAGCTCGGGCGCATTCCTCCCTGCTGACATCGACCCGCGCTCCACCGCCACCCAAAGCCACCGAGACTTGCGCGCGTCGTCCTGGGTGCCCGCGATCTTCTTACATTGCCGAGCGGCATTATTCTGCCCCTTCTTCCTCGCAGTCTTCTTCGTGCGCGCGTTCGTCGCGTTCTTCTTCAAGCGCATCTTCTCGGCGTTGTTCCACCTGGCCCCCCCTGGCCCCACTTTCCTCGGGGGGGGGTCGCTCGCGGCTGCCAATGGCGCGGGGCTTCGGCTTGAAACCAACGGGTTTGTTGGTCTGGGAACCAGCGCGGCAGATAGAGGTCTCGTCCACCGCGACCACCTCGGCGACGTCGCCGACCTTGGCGCCGTCTACTTATTCGACATGGCGTTGCGCGGCGGACTGGTAGGTCTTCTTCCACGAACCAACTGCTTTACGATTCACGCCGTAGGCCCCCTCCATCTCCTCGCATATGTTCTCCACGCGGTAATTCTTGTTCATCAGGAGGACGAAGTGCAAGAAAAGGAAATGGCTGCTCGCCCGCACGGACGGGGGGGGGCGCCCGTAGCCCCCGCGGCCTCGCCCCAGCATTTCCCCCCTTTCCAAGAGTTGCGCGCCCACTCGAGCTCCGCGAGTCGTCGCGAGGCTCCTGGCGCAGGGCCGCCTCGCCGCGACACTCCGGGCACTTCTGGTGGCACTGCAAGGCCGCGTGATCGGCGAAGACGAGGATAGCACGAAATGCCAGTCAGTCGCGGTGCTTCTTCTCGCTCCAGACCTCCTTCTTAATCGGGAACTCGCTGCAGCAGACGTGCTGGAGGAACGAAGCAGCGTAAGAGAAAGTGTTATCCGCGATGTTCCTGCGGAGCGTCTTGAAGTCCATGGCCTCGGCTCGCGGTTCAGCGGCGGAAGGCGAGAAGGGTGCGCGACAACACTTTCCGAAGCCACCCTGGCGCGCGCTGCGTTCGCAGTGAGAGGCTGGAGGGACTGCTGGCGTGGGCCGCCCATTTCATCATCGATCTGTAGCTCCAGCGTCGCGCGCCCGCCGACGACCTGAGCCCATCCTTGACGAATTGCATACATTGGTTTGGAGGTATTGACCAGCGTACAAGTATATGTACTTCTTGAACACATATGCTTACGGAGGGCAACGACCTGTTGGAGGTCTCCCAGATCGTGCTCTTTATCCTTTTTCTTCTGCTCCCCCTGCTGCCACGGTTCCGCATCCTCATCATCCACTGTGCACCTCGCCAAGCTTGCTTCGGTGGGGAAGCCCGGAAAATGAGTGCAGAAAGAGTTCCGCGCTAGATGTAGTCTGGAGAGCGAGATCTCTCTTTTTGTTTCTCTCTCTCTCTCTCTCTTTTTCTCTGTGTCCCCCTCCTTCTTGTGCCCCCCTTTTCCGACGGCCGTCCTAAAACGTTTTGCGCCGCTGCTTAAAATCGTTATAACACACTTTTACCATATCTTTGAAGATTAAGAACTGAATATCTCAGTGGACTCACGCCCAGCATTCTTCAAACAGGCGCTGGGCGACCTGCTTGAGGAAGACATATATGTTTGAAGATCCGAGCTGGAAGATCTCAGAGGGATTATGCTCCAGATTATTCAAATGAAGGTTGGTGTCAAACGCCAGCTTGAAGAATGCTGAGCATAACCCAGCTGAGATCTTCCATCTTCAATATTCAAACATGTATGTAGTCTGCATGCATACCGCCGCGCGCATGATTGACTATGCCGGGCATAAGCCCACTGAGATATTCCATCTTCTATATTCGAACAAATGGAGGATATGTTCTAGAATGTTATATATATATATATATATATATATATATAAAAACGAGGCATAACGATACCATAACGTTTTAGGACGGCCCTCGGAGGGGGGCAGAAGGAGGGGAGAGCGAGAGAGAGAGAGAGAGAAAGAGAGAGAAAGAGAGAGCGTGCGCCGCAAACCACATCTAGCGCGGAGCTCTTTCGGCACGCCCCCCGTTAGGCCCGCATGCCCATTAACGTACATGTATGTAAATTAACATTATATATATATGGATGTGTATGTGTGTGCATCTGTGTATATAAACAAAACCACTCAGACCCATACGCATACATATATGTATGTACAAACATACGTATACAGGAATGTGTGTATATGGGTTCGCCAGTTTGGGCCATGTACAACGTACAATGTGTATGTGCGTGTTGCGCAATACTGGTGGAGCAATCTACGTGGAACAGTCAATGTGGTACAATATACGTGGTGCAAAAGGTGTGTGGTACAAACTGTGTGGTTCAATCGATGTGTAGAAATATACGTGGTGCAATAGAAGTGGTGCAATATCGATTATGTAACTACGTCGTACAATTTTTGGCACGCTGCCTACATATGTGTACACATGTATGTTGTGCACACCGCATGTGGAGCAACACAAATGCTGCCACAGATGTTATGCCGCATATGTGGGGCCATCACTATGGTGCTATACATGTGGGACAATATGTGTGGGGCAGTCTATGCTGTACAACGACTTTGGGCGCCCGAGTTATCCGGGGTAACTCGGGTCCGGGGTAACTCGGGTTTGGATTCCCGAAAAAGGGACCCGAGTTATCCCTGACCCGAGTTACCCCTGATGATTCTGGGGCTCTGGACGCCCGAGTTATCCGGGGTAACTCGGGTCCGGGGTAACTCGGGTTTGGATTCCCGAAAAAGGAACCCGAGTTATCCCTGACCCGAGTTACCCCTGATGATTCGGGGCTCTGACGACTGTTGTGCAATCGATGTGGTGCACATGTGGTGCAAACTATGTGATCCAATTTGCGTTCCAACCCACGGCCGGCAACGAGGCGGCGACGCGGCGGCGACGGCGGCCACACAACCGCCAGACCGAAGACACGGCGCAGTTCTTGGAAAAGAAACAGCAAACCCTAAGTGCAGGCACTGCTTGGGGAATTTCTCTATACATATACATACATCGTGCGAGAGAGAGAGAGAGAGAAAGAAAGAGACAACAAGCAAAAAAAAGAGCCAATATCAACAAACAACAACAAACTGATAGAGAGAGAGGGAAAGACAGAGAGATAAAAAGAGAGAGAGAGAGAGACAGAAAGAGAAAGAGAGAAAGAGAGAGAGAGAGAGAGAAAGAGCGGCCTCCCTCTCCCTCTCCCCCTTCCTCCCTCCTCCCCCTCCCCATCCTCCCTTGCCTCCTCCTCCTCCTCATCCTACTCCTACTCCTACGCCTTCTCCTCCTCCTCCTCCTTTTCCTCCTTCTCATCCTTTTCCTCCTCCTCCTTTTCCTTCTCCTCCTCCTCCTCCTCGTCCTCCTCCTCCTCCTCCTCCTGCTCCTCCTCCTCCTCCTTCTCCTCCCCCTTCCTGCTGGTTCATCTCCTCTTGCTGATTCCCCTCCCCTTTTCTCCTGGGTGGCAGCACGGGGCACGGCGACGGCAGGAGGAAGTCGACCGGTGCAGAAGCCCAAGGCACGCCCCGCGGCCAGTCACCTCCTCTGCGCGGCGCCGGCGGTCGAGCAGAGGCCGCGGATGTGGGCGATCGCCAGCTCGAGCTCCTGACAGCGAGGCCACGGAGGATCACGGGCTGTGGACGACAGGCTCGAGGTTTGAGGTTCGAGGTGTTCGGTGGTTTTCGTCTGTGCTCCTTGGTTCTGCAGCCTCGAGGTTCTCTCTGGCAGGCTGCTGGAGAGAATCAGGAGGCACCCCCACACGCCTCTTCGGCGAAGAGCAGCTGCTGGCAGCAGCTGCGCTTCGCCGAGAGGCGTTCGGGCGTGCGCTGATCGTCCCAAACGGCCGCTGGGGACCTGGGCTGTGACCCCGAAGCCAGACGACGAGGATCACTGGCAGCTGGGGGGGCAGGATATGCCCGCAGATCACGAGCGGCGGACGCGTCCATTTCCACGCCCTCGCGGTCTGGATTCCGGGGCGCGATCCCGTGGACAAGCGGTCGCATGGATAAATCCCACACGGGCCATTCGCGAAAAAATGCCCCGTATCCACGGGGTCGTTTTGGACGCCCGAAGTGGGCACGGAGAAAAAATGGGCACGATGCCCAACAACAAGTGTTATCCCAAACCAACAGCGGCCGCTGTTGGGCAGGCGGCCTCTTGTCTCAAATGGACACAGGCCGCGGCGGCGCAGACAGCGAGTCCTGTTCAACATATGAACAGGAACTGCTGTTGGGCATTGTACCCGTTCTTTCCGCACCCATCTCCTGTGCCGAGTCGTGGCTCACGGGCCCAGCCCCCGAGGCCGTGGCTGCGGTTATGAAGCGAGAGCTTGGGGCCGGGGGGGGGGGGGGGCCGCAAAGTGGCGGCTGCAACACCCTCTCGGGAGGTTGAATGTAAAGGGCCCCGCTGGCGAATCCGCCAGTCGATGTGGCTGGGTGGGGGATCGACCACTTCCTAACATACGGCAAAGACGGCACGAAGAGAAGGGGTCCTGAGGAAATGGATCCTGAGGCCCGGAGCTTCCTCCCGTCAGCTCTTCCTCTTGGGCCTTCCCCAGGCAGAGCTTGCTCTCAGGGGTTCTTGCTGAGGCTCCTTGAGGTCATTGGTCGGGCGACACTGACTTTCTGGGCCGGTGCCCGATCGGTCGGCGCGCCTCATGTGCGCCTCGTGCGCTGGGTGAGTATACCGGGGTGTTTGCCCGGTGCCACCCCATGAACGCCTCGTGTGCTGCGCGTGTGGTGAGACTTCGCCCCGGGCCCGCCCGCGGGCGCCTCGTGGGCGCCTCGTGGGCCGGGCGGGTGTGCCGGAGGTTCGCCCGGTGCCCGCCCAGCAGCGCTCGTGGGCGCCTCGTGGGCGCCTCCGGGCTCTGGGCGGACGTGCCGAGGTTTCGCACAGAGCCGGCCCGTGGGCGCCTCGTGCGCTGGGTGGGCGCGCCGAGGGTGTACCCAGGTGCTCGCCCATGGGCGCCTCGTGGGCGCCTCGTGGGCGCCTCGTGGGCGCCTCGTGGGCGTGCCGAGGCTTAGCCTGGTGCCCACCCGTGGGCGCCTCGTGGGCGCCTCGTGCGATGGGCGGCCGCGTAGGCTGCAGCACTACGTAGCGTTTACCGCATTGCTTACATCACGCAGCGTACACCTCATGGCTTACGCCACTCAGCTTGCACCACAAGTATTGCACCACATACACTGCACTGCGCAACCTGCACTACATGGCTTGCACCACGTAGCGTGCACCGCATGGATTATGCTTTCTATTCTCTTTGCTCAATACATGATACCGGAGAACAGCCCAATCATGATCTGTTCAAGGCTCTAGGGCTATGGGGCTATGGGGTGTGAGGCTATAAGGCTACGGGGCAATACGGCTATAGGACTATAAGGCTATAGGACTGTAAAGTTATAGGGATATAAGGCTGTAGGGCTATAGGTCGATAGGGCTGTAGGGCTATATGGCTGTAGGGCAATAGGGCTACAGGTTATAGTGATATATGGATATACGGCTATAAGGCTATAGGGCGATTGTGCTATAAGGCCACACGGAAATGGGGCTACAGAGTTATAGTAAAACTGTTGTAACTATAAGATCATAGGGCTATAAGGCTGTAGGGCGATAGGGCTATAGGGCTAGAAGGCTAAACAACTATAAGGCTATGGGGCTACATGGTATAGGGTTACCGGGCACCCGGGCACCCCAGCACCCGGGCACCCGGGCACCCGGGCACCCGGGCACCTGAGCACCTGGGCACCCGGGCGCCCGGGCACCCGGGTGCCCGGGCACCTGGGCACCCAGACACCTGGGCGTGCCGCCGACATTGGCGCCATACCTCACCTAACCCTATGAATCCGCGAGGACCCTTGCAGAGACAAACTTTAATTGCCCTCCCGAAACCGGATTTATCGGCACCCCCCAAGGATGTGCATGTTACATATAATTATGTTCCATCGTCCGTCTTAAACCTGAACTCGTATCATCCCAGCCGAGCCAGTCTCGGCCCCCCGCACCATCCCCTGCAAACCAGAATATGCGCGCGCACTCGTTTATCAACAATCATCAGTTGCTAATAACCGTTTGCGAATAAGCCCGGCGAAAGACCCAACCATATGCAGTTGTGAATACCGCAAGTGTGAATGAAAATCTTCTTCGGTGCCGCTCCCTATGGGGCCACGAACCGCATGACGGGGTGCGCCGAATTGCGCGGCGAAGTACACAACGCGAACGTATACGATAAATCTAACTACGAGAGACTGAGCGCAGGTGAGTCTGAGTGCGAGTGAGTCTGAGTGTAAATGAATCTGCGCGCGAATGAAGATATTCGCATGGGTGCGAGCATGGCCACGCCTGGTGTGTGTGTATATATATATACATACACTTATATATGCATACCTATAGGTATAACATACATATGTATATGTTTTTATATATATATATGTATATGTATGATCGTAAATGGTTCCCGTACCCCTGGCCCTGAGCACTCGTGACACTGAGCGCGGCCGCCACAAGAAGCCTCCCCTGGAACCCCGACGGCAGCGCCCGCGCGCCGCGACGCCCGTGCCGGCGCGCCCGTTTCCTTCCCGTTATGTTTCTCCCTCTTTGCCCGCGCGCACCCATGTCCAAGGCTGCGGGCGCGGCGCCGCGCGGGGCCCCCGCGACGCGCGTCGGTCGCCCCGAGGGGTCCCGGCGACGCGCGGGGGTCGTCCGCTGCGCAGAACAGAGAGAGCTAGCTGGCTGGCTGATAACAGACAAGGCTGTGGCCGCTGGGCAGAGCGACGACGAGTGCGAGCGAGGCTCTGGGCAGAGCGCAGCGCGGCATTCCCGCGACGCGCGCTGGTCGCCCCGAGAGGGTCCCAGCGACGCGCGCGGGTCGCCCGCGGCGCGAAGCCAAACAATCAGACCGTCGAGAGAGGGCGAGGCTCGGGCGGGCCGCTCCTCAGGTCAAGCCTCGCGGATAAACTCGGTGAAGCTCAGCTCCCTGGCGAAGGCCGCCGCCTCCCTCCTGCACCGCTTCGCGCGCGTGGCAAACTCCTCCAGCTGCTTCCGCAAGCCCTCCGGCGACCCTGCCAGGAAGAACTCGATGCGCGGCGCCCGCATGACCAGGAGGTCCTCGTGGCGCGTGGCGCGTGAAAGCAGCGCGTAGGGTTCCAGCCACCAGCGCGTAGGGATCCAGCCACGAGTCATCGTGGAGGCCGCACTCCAGGATCCGCACCTCGTGGGGCGGCGGCGCCATGCGAACTGCGCCGCTGCGACCTTAGGTGGAACTCCTTGAAGGGCCACGAAGCGTGTGAGGGGTGTGTCAAAATGGGGCGGCGGCGCCATGCGAACTGCGGAACTGCCACTTTAGGTGGAGCACCCTGTGGGGTCACGAAGCGTGTGAGGGGTGTGCCACAATGGGGCGGCGGCGCCATGCAAACTTCGCCACTGGGACCTGAGGTGGAGCTCCCTCTGGGGCCACGAAACGTGTGAGGCGTGTGCCACAATGGGGCGGCGGCGCCATGCGAACTGCGCCACCTGGATCTCAGGTGGAGCTCCCTGTGTGGCCACGAAACGTGTGAGGCGTGTGCCACAGTGGGGCGGCGGCGCCATGCAAACTTCGCCACTGGGACCTGAGGTGGAGCTCCCTCTGGGGCCACGAAACGTGTGAGGGGTGTGCCAAAATGGGGCGGCGGCGCCATGCGAACTGCGCCACTGGGGTCTTCGGTGGGGCTCCCTCTGGGATCACGAAACGTGTGAGGCGTGTGCCACAATGGGGCGGCGGCGCCATGCAAACTTCGCCACTGGGACCTTCGGTGGAGTTCCCTCTGGGGTCACGCAACGTGCGAGGGGTGTGCCAAAATGGGGCGGCGGCGCCATGCGAACTGCGCCACTGCGACCTTAGGTGGAACTCCCTATGGGGCCACGAAACGTGTGAAGGGTGTGCCAAAATGGGGCGGCGGCGCCATGCGAACTGTGCCAGTGCGACCTTCGGTGGAGCTCCGTAGTGTCGCCATGAAGCGTGTGAGGGGTGTGTCAAAATGGAGCGGCGGCGCCATGCGAACTGCGCCACTGCGACCTTAGGTGGAACTCCCTATGGGGCCACGAAACGTGTGAGGGGTGTGCCAAAATGGGGCGGCGGCGCCATGCGAGCTGCGCCACTGCGACCTTAGGTGGGGCTCCCTATGGGGCCGCGAGGCGTGCGAGGGGTGTACCGAAACAGAAACATTTTGAAGGCAAGGGCAAGGACAGGGAGAAGGGAGGAGGAGGAGGAAGAGGAGGAGGAAGAGGAGGAGGAAGGAGGGGGAGGAGGAGAGGAGGAGGAGGGGAACGTGGGGCACCGTCTTTTCAAAACGAGGACCAAACACCACAGGATGGTTGGGAAAAGTGCGCCGAAGCGCGCACGCGCGCGCCGTCGCTCACGCATGCCAAAATCCTTCACACACCTTCGGTGTCGCCGAGATTTCAATAATCACCCATGGTTTCACAACGCAGATTTCTGAAACAAGTTTGCGCGCGCTCTTGTACATTCTGTAGAAAACCATCAATGTTTCGCAAGTTTCAAAACATGCTACGGAACGGGCTTCGCACGCGCGCATGTCGAAATCGTTTGAATGCCCTTGCGCGCGTGCCGTCGC